TTGGGGGGGGGAGGGGCGGAACCCTTTTTCCTTTTATTTTTTTGAGGGGGGGTGGGTTCCCCCCCCCCCCGGTTTTTTTTCCTTTAAAAAGGGCAACCCCGGGTTGTCCCTTCGGGGCTTTTTTAAAAGGACCACTTCGGGGGTTTCCCCAAAAAAAAAAGGGGGGTTTTGGTTTCAAACCCAGGGTGGGGGGGGCGGGAAAAAACTTGGGGGTTTCCGGGGGAAAAATAAGTTTGGGCCCCCATTTTCCCCAACCCCTTTTAAATCCACCCCCGGCAAACTTTTAAGGGAAACCCCCCCCCCCCCCCCCCCCCCCCCCCCGGCTCCATGCCCGATATCCAACATCTCGGGGGCTTGCCACGTTGGGGAGCGTCCGAGAATCGTAGCAGGGGAGGGCACACCGCCACTGCTGTCCTTCCTCGCTTCCTCACTTGGCGGTGTTGTTGACGAAATACCCGCCTGTCACGGTCACCACGTTGGTGTCCCCCCAGGCCACGATCGCCCCGCCAAGCTCCTGCGCTTCGTTGTCGCTGAACGTGCCTCCCTCGATCGTTACGCTAGCGCCTCCAAGGTCGTTGCTATCCCCCGAGCTATACACCTGAGTTGGTCGGACGCGGCGACGAGAGACGAAGGAAAAGGATGGAAAAACTAGGGAGCAAGCAAGTAGTCGAGGGATGTGATCGAAACCGTTGAGGGAAGAACAACGACACTCCGACGCTTCTGCCTTCATCACCCCCCCCCCCGGAATGCGAGGTCGACCACAGCATGCGTTTCCATGAGAGCACATCCCGCGCTCACGTCATCTCCTCCGCACACCAAACACCATGTGTTGTGTTGCAGTTTTACTCGCCCACCGTGGGTGCGGTCTAAGTTTCGAACATTGCAGGTGGGCAGGCAACAGTTGTAACCCTACTATGCACAAGTCTGAGGTCGGATAGACCTCCCCAGCAGCAGTAAACGCAAGTTCGAAGACCCGAAAATAATCTCGACGGCTGTATTGTCGCGTTCACATGGAGCAGCAGCTATGGTCAGGGAGAATAGTGGTCAATCGCGGGCCGCGCCAGGAGACGCGGGGGGCATGAGACGGGTACCGAAGTAATTATTGTCCCGGGGGTAGGCCACGAAGGTTCGTGCGATTCACAAGGTTTGGTGAATGCGAGCCTGCAAAAAGGGGCCTACATCGTGTCTTGTCGCAAAGAAGATAGCTGGTCCACTCTCTACTAAGAGTAGCTGCACAACCTCGCGATAATGGGCACTTCTCTCGCCGACCGTGTACCGGGGCGCGCGCGACTTGTTGCTGTTTGGGGCCATCTTATTTCCATGTGGTAGGAAAACAACAGAAGCGGCGAAAATTAATAATAAATAAACACATGAGCGACCAATCATGATCGGTGGTGCTTGCGTTTGTTGCCACGCGCACAACTTTTCAAGCTTGTGACTCACCACGCCAGCTCTCCGTTCGGCCACGTTGTTTGCCACCAACCCTCCCGTGATGGTCACGGTCCCACCGTCCGAGACGTACATGAAACCGCCGTTTCCGGTCGATCTGCACCCCCTAAACTCCCCGCCGTTGACGTTGACGTTGCTGTCCGCGGACGCGTCTGAGACAGCGCGAAATTTCAAGGAGAGCAGTCACACAGAACGAATCGGTGCCGGAGGGCGTGTGTCAGCGGGAGAAAAAACTGCGTTCGGAACGTGATGTGTGTGAAACGTTGGGTCACAGGGGCGTCACGTTCAAAAAGAGTGAGTCAAACTCCCGAGATACAGTAGTTTCCCCACGGAGTGTTCTGCTGCTTCGGGTGGTGTATGCACAGACCGGACAGCTTCTGCTGCGTGCGCCGCCGAGGCACCAAAAAATGCCGTCAACTTTTTGACAAGCAGAGACACAAGCTCCAACGGTCCGCTTTGTTGGGCAGGATGGTACTCGGAGCGCCGAATTAATTTCGCAAGCTTGGCACACGCGGTCCCACCGCAGCCAGCAAGCAGGGAGCGATCAATACCGCACTATTGCACACACCCCGCCTCCTTCTCCTCATGCCATTCGTCGACCTCAGAACGCCTACAGCACGGTCTTTGCATCTGTGGTACTGAAAACGCTCCATCCAGACTCATGCACATCAGCACATCAGAACGATTCCCCGGCGATGAACGTCTCAGTTGCTTTAATCACGAACATGATTCAAAGCTCCTATCCTTGCGCTTGCTACCACGAGGCAAAGCGCGCAAAACACTCTCCCAAACGAGCAATCTATTTGGCACCCACATATGCAGCCTCCGGAGTCCGCCAAGTTATCCAGCATCACCGTCCCGTCGTTGACAATGCCGATGCCCGCGCTGTAGAAGCACCCGCCGTTCTCCTCCGCCTCGTTCAAGCTGCATGTGACGTCGTTCATCTCCACCGCTCCGCCGGAATACCACCCAAACACCTGCCGTGCCGCCAACAAGTCGGGAACGGCAACGGCAACGCGAGTTTAGAAACCGGCGTCTACTTCCACACCCTTTTTTGAATCAATGCCATTGTCGTGAACGAAAAAAATCAGGATTTGCCACGGCAATGTCAAGTGTCACCGTTGCTTTCCACGCTTTCGGAAGCCAAAGCCACCGTTGCGGAAACAACCCGGGCATCGCAATCGAGCTCAATCATATACTCCACGAACGTTCGGAAAGCTCTCGACCAGACGGTTCAACGCGGACATTTTTCGGCACGCGGACATTCTTTCGTCGGTGCAAGAGCAACCGATCTTCGAAGATCGGTCCTGGGGGTGGTATTGTGGTACCTCCTGCCAACATATGGTATTCTAACACAGCAGTCTGGCTCGTGCGTGTCCGCCATGGGCAACCTCCTTTTGCTCCACCTCGTATGTACAACGGTTTCCCCGTAATTAACACAGCACCACCACGCGGCAAAGGGCGTCTTGTTGTGGGCAAACTCGCGGCTTGTTTTCTCGGCGACGACACCAACAGAGAGGATCTATGTATGCGTGCTGTAGGTTGCGTAAGATATCACACCCCCTGGCCCGTTTTTCAAAGCTCGATTGCTCGGCAGGAAAAGCAGTGACGGTTCCGAAAATGGTAGCGTTGGAACCGTCTCGTCGTCGAGAGCTATCCGACAACGTATCCTTTGATTTCAGCATCCTCTTCGTCGTGGAGTAATGGAGCTTTGAAAATCGCTCCAGGGGGTGTGGTATCTTACGCAACCTACGTTACATTGTACATAGAGTAGGTTTGTTTACGTGCGGGGGTGAGATCGAAGTTCTGGTACGCACAATTTGGTATACTTTTCTCAATCCTTCAAACCCGTAACTTTCTTACAGCAGTACGGCTATACTACATGACACGGAAGAAGAAAAGAGCGTGGTCGGCACGCCTCCAATGGTCGCTTCACATGATGGTGGTGGTGGTGGTGGTGTGGTTGAATCCACGCACGAGAAATAGTGAAATAAATCACCTTCTTCGACTTATTATTTCACTAGGTTGGGAAGGGTCGGGTGACTCTCAAGTCAGCTCAAATCTTCAATTCTTTTGCCAAACTTTCTCCAACGACCGTCACACGTTCTATGCATATGCATATGTACGCTCTCTCGAGGTTTGGGCAGAAAAAAAGGCAGCCTCCCGCTTGGTGCAATTGTGGCACTGCATCTTAGAAAGAACAGCAATCGTGGTACAGCAGTAATACTTCCTTCTTCCCCTCGCTGCCTCGGTAAGGCTTTTGCTTAGGCATAGCCCACAGCGAGGGGGGGGTCTTTCTCGCGAGCATGGCTAGACTCACCCTCAAGGGCCCGATACCTTCTTGCTGCGGCGCACCCGCCGCGAGGCGTGCGTAGTGGTAGAGTTAGGTCGGCACTGGTGCGTCAAGTAAAATGCAGATGTGCGGGCCTCATGGCCGTCGGTGTAGACAGCAATGTCCATCTCAGTTTTGTGCGCGGAGGCAGACGCCATCAGAAAGGTGGACGGGCACTATGTACACGGCCCTAGGTTAACTAGAGGGAGCTGTACTGTCTCAGTAACCTGGCTTCGCCATCAAAGGGGAGGAGGGAACAGGTGGTGACGAGATGAGTGGGCTGGTTGACCCTTCGGCCCGAGAATTTTCAGACCAAGAACCCTAAGTGCAACGAGGGAGAAAGCGAGGAACCGACTGGGAAGGACATCAACGAGAGCGTGTGCGGACGGAGCGGGTCGATTTTGGTCGTGCTAGGACTGGCCGCAGCGACACCGGGGCAGCGGCGCCGGAGCAGCGGCATCGAGCAGCGGCGCCGGAGCACACGGACGACATCGAACCGTGACGCACGGACGAACATTTTGTGTTGTCAAGTATTTTCTTTTTTTCTTTTTCTTAATATGACACAACGAATCCATTCTATCATAGAAAATAGTTTCTTTCCTGAACATTGGTGTGTATGTGATGACGTCACTGTTTTGTAGAGAGACGCGGCAGAGATGGCGCGGATAGCCCGGGTGCCTCTATTGTGTACCTGAGAACTACAGGGGATGTATTGTAAAATGTAAGTTACCTATACAGATGTTTTTGTACTTAGCACCAGCTGGCATCACTGATATAAATAATCAGTATATAGACTTAAAAAGACTCGAAATAAGTCCAGTACCCAGCCGTTTTTCCTCCACTCACTGAAAAGACTCCACCACATCCCGTTCGACTGTGGGTATATCTCGAATGGGTAGTCTTTCTGTGTGTATATTTATTATTCCTTAATCGTGGAAGACCCCTTCAATGTGGAACGATTCCTAATCAGTGTCGACTATTTACTATTTACACACAATCGACCGCGTCGAGTGTTGGATCAGTACGGACATACGAAGGTACTGGGTGGAGAGAGAGATCGGAACGGTTTTTGATGTCAAGACAACAACAACAACAACTGCTGTGTCCACCACAGATGGTCAGGGGTAGATTCGGTGATTGTCAACTGCAATGATGGCTTTGGTTGGTTGTTCTTTTTCACTGCTGTTGTATGTCCACGGACGCATTCTGACAGCACTTCAGACAGCAGTTGCGCGCCCCGAACTTGTACCATGCCTACCCATGGGTGTTATTGTACAGGCAGCACTCCAGACAGCTGTACGCTGTAGTCGACATTCATTTTGGTACAGTGTAGGACAGGGGGGGTGATGCTGCTGTAGTCGAATGTAGTGTGTGGACGGGTAGTTCAGTTTATGGGCACGCAAACGTGCTGCAGGGATGTATATGTACCTCTTTGGGCTTGTGTACCCTTTTCTTGCTAGTTTGCTTGTTGTTTGGATCTTCTGATGACTCTAGCATTTTTGTGACCACGGACCGCGCCTTTGCTAGCTTTTGGGATTAGCAACAACAACAAGTACATGTATCTTCTTTGAGAGAAAAGGTTGTGCAGCAGCGCTCATGACAATATCGGGATGGCGGTCTCCATGTCGGAACACGACCCTCGGAACACTGGTGTGGCACCAGACTTCAACAAAAAATACAGCATGTGACCCCGGCTGACACGTCAGGTGAATAAACGCTGAGAGGTTTATAAATCGGCGCCAGAATACGTACATGGGACGAACACACCTACGCACACACAGAGAAGACGTTTTCTGGAAGAAGTCCCGTTGCGGCGCAGCCTTCCACCTAATTTCACAACACAATCCAGCCCTCGCCTGCACCAATCAAACGCACGCCGTCCTACATGCATCGTCGAGAGGGTACCTAGAGCCGAATGAGACTGACACCAAAAGCGGGAGAAAGGTAAATAAAAACACCGGGGATTGAACCTGCAACGACCTACTCCTCAAGCAGAGGCGTTTCGTCCCTGCACTGCGGGTAACTTGGGTAGCAATTTTCGCCATCGCATGCCTCCACCCCCGCCTTGCCCACCGGCGGAACGTCCGTCTATTCCGGCGAATCGTCGGACGGACAACGAACAATAAATCCCGAAAAGATCACTCGTCGACGTTGCAAAAATAATAGATGCTCTTCATAAAAAAAACGGTTCTTCCCCCATTCACGGTCAAGACTATTATAAGGCTTCAACACATCTCTTTCGACTACTGTGGTGTGATATTATCTCGAACGGCATCGTATTTCTGTGTGTTTATTTATATTTTCTAGAAATAAACAAGCCCACAAGTGTACGGTTATTCCTATGCACAAAAGTTACTCTCATGTTGAACACGCTCGGAGGCGTACACAGCAGTCCTCCAATAGTTGTACTACAACCACATTCGTTTTGTAAAGTATTCTTTCTATATATGTAGGCATATGCACAATATATTCCGCGAAAAAAAACAAAAAGGTTGTTGGCACTCACCCCGCCGCCGGTCTCGTCGGCAACGTTGCTCGTCACGACCGTGCCTCCCCCAAGCGTGGCGGCCGACGCGACCAGCCCTCCTCCGTACCCAGGAGTGGTGTTGTTGTTGATGGTGCACCCATCGATCGACATGGACGATCCGCTGCCTCCGAAGATCCCGCCGCCGGACACCTGGGCGTAGTTTAACTCGAACAAAGAGTCCGTGATCTCCACGGTGGCAAGGTAAAACGCCGCGGCCCCGCCCCCGTATAGGTCAGCCCAGGTCTCGACGGTATCGCTCAGGCTGACCTCAGCGCCGGTTGAGGCTTCGTTGGACGTGAACGCGGCGTCGCTGAGAGAGCAAGAGGGGTCGGAGCTCTCTACCCCTCCTGAGCAGTACAGCCCGCCGCCCTCCACCCCCGTGTTGCCGTCGAACCGGGTGCCGTTTCGGATCACCAGCCCGGCGTCGGCGGCGAGAACGGCGCCACCGTTCCCGCTGGCGCTGTTCCCGGAGAACTCTCCCCCGATAATCGTTAGGTCCCCGCCGTCCGCCCGCACGGCCCCTCCGTCTCCGGCGGTGGCGACATTGCCGTTGAATACGCACGTGTCGAGCGTTACCGATGCCATGCTGGATTCAATAGCGCCGCCGCTTGCCGCGTTTCCCCCCGAGAGCTTGAGATCGGTCAGCGTCAGGCCTCCAGACGATGAGACGTAGAACATCTGGGTCTGGCCGCCGCCCAGCACCTCCGCCGAGTCGTCTTCTCCGGTGATGGACAGAAACGTCCCCGTCCCGACGGAAATGGGAGCCGTAAGAGTAACCGCCCCCGCCCAAACGGCTTCCACCTCCCCGCCGTCGGTGCAATTGACGGCAGCACCGAGAACACCGGCATCTGCCACTGTTTCTACACGGAGGGGCGAGCTGCTGCCACAAGTTGTCGTCGTTACCTGCGCCCATGCCGGTAGCCCTGCCGCCAAGGCTAGCACCAGCACAAAAAGAAGAAGCCACCGCCGCCTTGGCTTTCGCCGGGTGCCTACGAAGCTCTTCATGTACCTGGTATGAAGTATGAATGCGGTGATCCTGTACTGCAGGCAAATCTCCGCGGTTGAGCGTTGATTGATCGGACCACGCAAGGCGGGAGAGAGAAGAGAGAATAAGATGAGTGGTGTGGGAGGTTTTTCAATGTGGCAGCACGACAACAGGTGTATGAGGTGCCACAAGAAGAGCAGTATAGCAGTACACTTGCTGAGCCTCTGCCATGGATGCGCGGCGCAGCCTACCCTTTGGTGAAATACCCCGCAGAGGTACGGGGTAATTCCCCCAAGGACAGAGGTGCGCAAGCGAGCAACATCAGCAGACCCACTTGTTTCCAACGTACACGCACCTCTCGCCGAGACACCAAACTGCGACCAGTTCTATTTACCACAGGTTAGCCATGTGCCCCAGTGCTGTGTTGTATGGGGACACGTGACCACTACTGCTGTAGAGCAAAGTTGAAGTTACACGGCATCATCATTCCAGCCGACTGCATATGCATCGCGTAGCTCTCAGCAGATCTCTGCTGTCCGTAGCTCACACGCAAGGAAGCACCACGCATACAAGGCGGGCGGGGGCAGCCTCTCCATGATGAAAGCGCCTTAACACAGCAGTCCATTTATCGCTCTTCTTCATCACTGAGCGAGCCACCACCCCAACAGAAATGGCGTCGGCAGTCGGCAGGCATGATTCGACTCACCGTTCGAACCGGAGCACAGGGCGCTCTCCAATTTCCTTGAGGTCGCCCGGGTCCTGACGTGTCTCTCACAAACCTAAACCTCCAACAGCGGCTGGCTCAACTCACAAGAGAATACCATCCATCAGCCACGAGACTCTCCTGTCACGCTCTCTCTACGAGCCGCCGCCCTACACGACCTCTTGTTTGGTGTGGTGGGCGCGTGTGAACGTGTGCACGCGTGCACGCGTGGCGGCTACACTCTCTCAATCATCACTCTGGAAAAAGCCAATAGAATATTAAGAAAATAAAATAAAAGAAAAAAGAAGGATGCGCGGAGGATCTTTGCCGCGACCGACCGACCGACACCGAAACACAATACTCCGAATGGCCCAGCACGCACCCTTTGTTGTTGTTTGTTGTTGTTGTTGTTGTCTTCACATTACAAACCGACCCTTACGGTGTTTGTTTGCGAAGTTGAATTTCGGTTTTTTCATCTTGGTCTTTTTGATCCCCCCGAGCGCCGAAGGCTGATGGATCTTTAGGAATTCAATCTTCTGCTTTATGGAATTGCCCCCAAAGACCGCAGGAAAGCTTGAATACAGATGGCGCCCGCACTTACTTAAAACCCCTTTAGGGCTGGATCGCCTTTTGGGGACACTTTTTGTCCCCATCTTCTTCACCTGCTTTACCTCGCGAAGATTGGCATGATTGTCTCCTCCTTTGCACTACTCGACCAGGGGGGTGCCAGGGTACACAGGGACGACTCTAGTCTAGTATGGATGCTTTGTAGAGTGGAGGAGTATGAGGGTAATGAACTGGTCGAATCGCGGGGCGATTACGCCGCCGGTTCAACAGCGAAGTTGCGCCGCGTCTGTTTACCCTTGGGTGGAAAGCGCTACTAGGGGCAAGCGCGGAAGAAGTACCTAGACCACCGTTGATAGGAGGCACCAAGCAACCTAGGGCTTGAGTTAGAAGATCTCGCTTTCCCTCTAGAGAAATATCTTGAAAACCTCCTTTTCGTGCCCCGTTTACCACGCTCCCGCCAGTTGCTGTCTATATTCCCTATCAATTGTCCCCTCGTGTCCCCTCGAATCGAGGGGACAATTGATAGGGATTACAAGGCTTTCGGCGGCTTACGCCGCCACGCTGAGAGAAGCGTACCGCAAGACGCATGTTTCTTGGCGTCTGGTAAACGATGGTATGCGGTGGCTGTGAGATTCCCAGCAATTTGTTCCCGCAGTATGCAGATGTGAGAAATGATGTACCACATAGGGCGAAGTCACACACTGAACGTGCGTTGTGAGCAGTAGTGAGCAGAAACACGGCTTAAGCATACGACACGACACGGCTTAACAACTAAGTCACACGGTGCACACTAAGGCAACGGTAAATTAAAGCACGGTCCACGCAACGACACGACACGGCGTAGTCAACAACACGGGCGCCACCCAACGCAAACCACACGAAACGGCATAGTCAACCACGCAAACTTCATGACAACGGCAAAGTCACACACTACATACGACACGACACGGCATAGTCATCCTGACAACACGACCACGGAAGAGTCACACACTAACGGCAGCACACATACGCACAACACGCGACGAGCCGCAAACCCAGAGACTTTGAAACCAGCAACTATCCTCGTGGGATGCATAGTGACGCATACGACACGACACGACATGGCATAGTCATCCTGACAGCATGACCACGGAAAAGTCACACACTAACGGCAGCGCACAACGACGATTTGCTAACCCATCGCACGGACTATGCCTTTTTGGCCATTAACCAGTCCTTGCTTAAAGTTAAGGTTCCTTGTTATCATTACCATACAGTTCAGCTTTAGGTTCAAGACATGAGGCGGAACGCCTGCAACGTCAATTGAGTTGAGGTCAGCAGCCATGACGAAGTCGAAGGCATCGGCATTGCAACTGTCAGGGTCGACAGTGTCGCAACTGTTCACGGTACAGAGATCACCAGACAGCAGGTGAAGGATATGTTCATTGATTGTGTCTATGGTGTCATTGGTAGAGGACAGTATTGCTCTCGACTTGAACGTGCTGGGGTCTGCATGTAGAATATCGGGGTAGACGAAGTTGATCAATTCTTCGAATGATTCCGTATTCTCAATGACAAACGGATCAGGTGGCATTGCTGGGATGTCATGAATGTATGCTAGGGCTCCGATACCAATATTGCGTACAAAGGCGGCGTAGGGAGCATCCTGGCGATCACGTTGGGAAATGGTCAGGCGCATTCTATGGACATACGGCCACAGTGGGCTTGAAATGATGGAAGCATCAACTGTTTCTGCCTGTCCGAAAACACGACGACGGGTCCTATTTGACGCATGTCGCCACTGAGCAAAACAGTTTTGCCGCCCATTAGCAGAGTGTTCCCCATGAGGTCCTGTAGCGTAAGGTCAAGCGCCTCGACGGAATATCGGTGGCTCATCGGAATTTCGTCCCAAACGATGAGATCACATTTCCGCAAAACTTCTGCTCGTTGCGATTCCGCGGAGATATTGCACATTGCGCCGGCGACATTTTGAACCGTTGTGTTGGGTGACGTTGTGCACGACGTGGTCGTAAACTAAAAGCTGTTCGTTGGTAAGGTTAGGTAGGTGGTGAGCAGCGAAAACACGCATCTGTTCGACGTCGAACATATGTTTAAACCGTAGGTACTCCGTGTCTAAATGAATGACTGTTGGAAGTCCGGCGATGGTGTTAGTACGTCCATGGTGCTGCAATCCAAGGTCGATTTCCCGAAGCGCTGCGTTGCTCGCTTCGATGGAGGTCATGGACATACGTAAGTCTTGGGGGTGAAGTCTCGTTTAAAGTGCCTTGTACTCTTCGTCATGTTTGACGATGCCCATGGCTCTAGCAGCGTCTTGGAATGTTTCATGAACTATTTCGTTGTGAGTCCTGAGTAATTCAAACGGTCTTGCCGGTTTGTGGTGCAGAAGTTGGCGCAGATAGAAGACGTCCCCTTTATCTGGTGTAATAGCCGTAACACGCGCTACGTGCTTGTGTGAAGTGCGAGGTGTAACATAATAGCCGAATCTGTCGCGAAAATGCGTTCGTTCCTGTTTTCCGTGACTTTCGATTTTTGTTGACAATGTACTTCTCGTTGTAGTCCAGGTACGTGAGGGAATCGAAGTCGGACTCGGTAGGTCTTCCAAAGTACAGCATGAGGTCGGATTTGGTCTGTTCGGCTTCCGACTTCTGTTCGGCACGTGTAAGAGTTTGATCGACAATGACGTGTTGTTCATCGGGAAGGTGCAGGCGAAGGGACGTGACGGAAGGGTGGCGCTCCATGATGTGGAAACCAAGTAATCGCCACGCAGCCTCTGCCGCTGACACGTATCTTGCCGATCGGTAAGCTTCAATTTCGTCACCACCACAAACAATCTTGGCCTTGATAAAGTCGGCGCCTTTCGTGATGTACTTGTAAATATACTTGACTACTGTATGGCGTTGGCGGTGCAGACGTCAAAACACATGTGACAGTTGTATTTGGAAAGGAGCCAAATGTTGTACGGTGCTATCCATTGATTGGTGGCGAATGATTCGATAAATTTGCCGTTCACTCTGTGTGTGTAGGGAAATATCTCTTCGGTATCTCTACGACGGTACTCGGCTCTACCGGTCTTGCCCACAGCGGCTACGTCACGCCATGGTTGGGGATAGTTTTTGCCGCACACCTTAACTCCAGGCCGTTTTCGATCTTCCTTCATGCACGGTGATGTGGGGTTGTGACTGCCACACTGTTTGTGTACCATGAGGTTCAGCACTTGATCTCTTGATCTACCATTGTTGAGCTCTGGCGGCGGCACTTCCGCCCAACACCATTCGTCCATTTCTCCCATCTGATCGGGCAAAGGTCCCTCAAAGCGCACTACTAAATGCATATGGGGCATTCCCCTCTTCTGGAACTCTACGCAGCTCATCTCAAAGTCAATCGGTCCAAAAATCTTGCCACTCCTGAGGTCTTTCATGAGTTCAGCCATTTTTATTTTAATTTTGAAGACACGGTCGCATAAGTCTGGCCTGTCGTACGCTGTTTGACCAGGTAACAGATTAGCTTGAATTAATTGCTTCCCAGTTACCATTGCATGTCATGGTGAGCATGGCACTAGGGCGTCCCTTACGTGATACAATAGCTAAGGCGTCGGTTTTGTGTTTGCTTTCATTTTGGCTGGATGCCCGTGAAAGGTTTTCGGGAGCGATTTACCTATCTGAGCTTCCTGGGGCGCGTCCTCTAAAGTTTTGTACGTGGTGGCACGTTTCTGGCCTTCAGCTGAGGAATGCATGTATGTGTGTGTTGTGA